GGAGATTGAGACCATCTTGGCTAACACGGTGAAACCGCCCTCTCTACTAAAAAATGACAAAAAAGTTAGCCAGGCCGGCAGTGGCGTGGGCCCTGAGTCCGCGTACTTGGGAGCTGAGGCAGGAGAATGGCGGTAAACTGGGAGGCGGGAGCTTGCAGTGAGCTGAAGTCCGGCCTCTGGCACTCCAGCCCGTGGGCGAACAGGGAGTGAGGACTCCGGTCTCAAAAAAAAAAAGAAGAACACGCACATGATGTTCAGTGGGAGTCTAGGTTGATACAGCCATGTTTACAAAGGCAGTTTGATAAAACATCTTTACAAATATTTTAAATTTACATACCCATTGAACTGGCAAAAATAGGAATTTTTTATCTTAAATATACTATACTTGGAAAAGCACTAGAAGGTACCATACACTAAGAATGTTCATGACAGTATTGCTGTACAAAAATGTCTTATAGACATTGCGTCAGTAGACAATTTTTTGCAAGCTCCGCCTCCCAGGTTCCCGCCATTCTCCTGCCTCAGCCTCCTGAGTAGCTGGGACTACAGGCACCCGCCACCACGCCTGGCTAATTTTTTTGTATTTTTAGTAGAGACGGGGTTTCACCATGGTCTCGATCTCCTGACCTCGTGATCCGCCCGCCTCCGCCTCCCAAAGTGCTGGGCTTACAGGTGTGAGCCACCGCGCCCGGCTGATTTCATGTTTTTTAAAAAAGAAGATGTACTTCCCAGTTTATGATAGAAACATTTTCTGAAAACGTGCACAAGTAGCTGGGTGTGGTGGCTCACACTTGTAATCCCAGCACTTTGGGAGGCCAAGGCAGAGAATCACTTGAGCCCAGGAGTTTGAGACCAGCCTAGGTAACATAGTGAGACTCTGTCTCTACAAAAAATAAAAATTAGCCAGGCACACACCTGTTGTCCCAGCTATTTAGACGGCTGAGGTAGAAGCATTGCTTGAGCCCAAGAGGTTGACGTTGTAGTAAGCCATAATCACAGACTGCACTCCAGCCTAGGCAACAGAATGAGACCCTGTCTCAAAAAATATATATATACAAAAGTCAGCTGGGCGTGGTGGCACATGCCTGTAATCCCAGCTACCCAGTAGGCTGAGGCAGAAGAATTGCTTGAACCCGGGAGGCAGAGGTTGCAGTGACTGGAGATCACGCCACTGCACTCCAGCCTGGGTGACAGAGCAAGACTCTGACTCAAAAAAAAAAGTAAAAACTAAGTCATTCTCAACAAAGTATATATATATATGTATATATAGTTGCCCAGTCAGAGATAACACTTTTTTTTTTTTTTTTGAGGCAGAGTCTCTCTGTTTTACGACAGGCTTACTCCACTATCCACGTTAGAGTGCTGTGGTGCGACCTTGGCTCACTGCAACTTCCACCTCCTGTGTTCAAGCGATTCTTGTGCCTCAGCCTCTTGGGTAGCTGGGATTACAGGTGCGTGGCAGGCTCGGCTAATTTTTGTATTTTTAGTAGAGATGGGGTTTCACCATGTTGGCCAGACTGGTCTTGAACTCCTGGCCTCAAGTGATCTACCTGCCTTAGCCTCCCAAAGTGCTGGGATTACAGGCGTGAGCCACTGCACCCAGTGAGTTTTTACTTTTCACTTAGTATATTTCTGTGTGGATTCAAGTTTTTCAACATGTGGAAAATGTACTTTTGATTTTTTAAAAATGCCAACAGTAGATATATACACATATGTACATGTATGATGTATATTTATATTCCTTCTATATATTAAAAAGCTTAAAACTGGCCTGGCATGGTGGCTTACTCCTGTAATCCCAGCACTTTGGGAGGCTGAGGCAGGCTGATCACTTGAGGTTCAGGAGTTCAAGACCAGCCTGGCCAGCAAGGCAAAACCCCATCTCTACTAAAAATTTAAAAATTAGCAGGTGGACGTGGTGGCTCAAGCCTGTAATCCCAGCACTTTGGGAGTTTGAGATAGGTGGATTACATGAGGTCAGGAGTTCAAGATCAGCCTGGCCAACATGGTGAAACTGTCTCTACTAAAAATACAAAAATTAGCCAGGTGTGGTGGCATGACCCCATAATCCCAGCTACTCGGGAGTCTGAGGCAGGAGAATTGCTTGAGCTCAGGAGACGGAGGCTGTAATGAACCAAGATTGCGCCACTGCCCTCCAGCCTGGCTGACAGAGTAAGACTCTGTCTCCAAAAAAAAAAAAAAAAATTACCTGGGTGTGGTGCGGGCACCCTGTAATTCCAGCCACTCAGGGAGGATGAGGCATGGAGAATTGCTTGAACCTGGAGCAGAGGTTGCAGGAGCCAAGATCATGCCATTGCACTCTGGCTTGGGTACTGAGCAAGACTATTTCTTTTTTTTTTTTTTTTTTTTTTGAGACAGAGTTTCACTCTTTTTGCCAAGCCTGGAGTGGCAAATGGCGTGATCTCGGCTCACCGCAACCTCCGCCTCCCGGGTTCAAGCGATTCCTCA